TGTGACGAAGATAGACAGGGACTGTGTGGGTGTCAATAAATGAGGGGTCTTGACTTCTTGGGGGGCACGGGGGCGGGATAGGGGTAGTCGGTTTAGTGGTCTTTTGGAGGACACGGATTGGAACAGCTTGTGGGCCCTTGTGATTGGTTGTTGAATGGAGGTTCGAAGCTCTGTGGGCAGGAGTTTGAGTATCTGCAACTGGTGACTGTGGAGACTTTGAGGTTCAGTGATGAGGGCTGGGGGGACGGGGGTTCGGTGGGTATCATTGTTTCTGGAAAAAACGCTTGAGGTTCTCAGTGCTAGATAACTTCTGTTGTCTGCGGAGGAGTATGTGTGTGTGAGGGGGAGGGACAGTAGTGTCCCGTCCTGTCCCTGTCGCCCCCTCCGCCCAGCCCCCCTTGCTTGGCTCATGTGTCCTTGCTAGGGAGTCCTGCACTGAGTCCTGGGGTCTTTACAAAATTCTGTTTACAGGGAAATAATTGCCAGAGAGCGCCTCAAGAGATAGTCCAGTGGGGAAGGCGCTTGCCTCGCCCCCATGTGTTCTCCCTAACTCTGCCAAGAGTCATCCTGAAAAGGGAGCCAGGAGAGTGCTGAGCATCCCCGGGTTTGGCCCCAAAACAAACAAAAAGAATATCAGGACAAGACAGTGAAGCAAAAATAGTTTAGTTTAAGGGGCCAGAGAGAGAATACAGAGGGTAGGGCACTTACCTGGCACCCGCAGGACTCAGGAGTAAGCCCTTGAGCACTATCTTGTGTGGCCCCCAAACCAAAAATAACAACAATAGTAATAATAATAGTTTGGGAAATCTGAGAGTAGAGAGAAAAAGACTCAGGGGAGAAGGCAGACTTGCAGTTAGGAGAGCGCCCGACATAGTTTAGGGAGGGGTTGACAGTGGGTTTATTCCACTTGGCCCTACTTAGAGCTCTCCTTTTAGGCTTGGTGGGTGCTGGCAGCAGCAACTCCTTTCCAGGAACTCCCCTTCTTTTGATGACTTAAAAATTCATTTATCAGTGATGGTGGGGGAATGGCTTCGGGTTGTGGAGCAAGGGATTGGAAGAGCATCAGTAAGATTCAGTGACTTGGGACTGGCACTAACTGGGGAGAGGAAGGTCAGGGATTGATCCCATGATTGAAATATCATTGGTTATGATTATGGTTTTGTGATTAGGGAGTCCATATAATTCAGACTAGATAAGCTTTATTATCACTAAAGTATTTGGGAGAGGGTGTTTTGTTTTGTTTTGTTTTTGGATGCACCCAGCAGTGCTTATTCCAGTCTCTGTTCAGGGATCTCTCCTGGTGATGCGGTGAGAGGCAGGGGTTGGTGGGAGGGACCATATGTGATGCCAGGGATCAAATTGAGTCCTGCTTCATGTTAGGCAAGATCCTTAACTCCTGTTCTCTCTCTCTAGATCCATAATATTCCCTCCCTCCCCCACAGATAGACACACTCCATAGCATTGGGAAACAGAGAGTGCAGGAGATTGAACCCTGGGTGCAATGTTTTGGCACTCCCAGACCCTGACTAATGATTTTGTTGTTGTTTGTTTTTGTTTTGGGGCCATACCTGCTGACGCTCAAAGGTTACTCAAACGTATTCCTGGCAGTGTTTGGCGTACACTTGGCAGTATTTGGCGGACCCTATGGGATGCTGGATCATATAGGATGCCAGGGATCGAACCAGGTTGGCTGTATGCAAGTGCCATACCCACTGTACTATTGCTCCAGTCCATGATTAATAATTTCTGATGGTCAGATTTATATAGATAGGACTCTGTCACAACATGGAGCTTTTGGGGTTGGTTCTAGCTTAGGAACATCATGCATATCTATGATTGAAGGACTTGCTGGGGCTTGATCTTAAGGAAACTGGAAATTCAGAGACTAAAGCCAGGAAAGTTAAGGATATGGAACTGCAGGTCTGCATAAATAGGTGCAGGGGTGGAACTAGCACATGTACTGTTGTCCTTTGAACTGTCACCTTCACCCCCAAAACTATCTTTTAAATCTCTCCCCTCTTTTTTATTGACCCCCTGTATTAATGAGGAATTTTTGAAGAAATAAAGTGGTAACTTACTTAAGACAGTTTTGTTTATTTGTCTTTTTAAATTTTGGACCACACCCCATGTTGCTCAGGGGTTACTCCTGGCTCGGCACTCAGGGATCACTCCCAGGGGGGGTTGGGAGACCAGATTTGGTGTCAGTGATTGAATCCAGGTTAGCCATGTGCAAGACCAGGGCCTTATCTGCTGTACTATCTCTGACCCCAAGAAGTCTTTGTGTCAGATTGAAGTTCTTATTTTTCAAATTAGTCAAGATTTTCTTATATGATGACATAGTGCAATGTCAAGCAAAATATAAGGGGATTTTCTGTAAATTACAACAGGATAATTTTGCATTTCAAATTGAAAATGAAACATTAGAGAATAGTCAAAGCTTTTAGAACAAGATTTTATAGTTTGGGGAGATAAAGGCCAAATCCAAGAGGAAAAGTAAGGTTTTGTGGGTGACAAAGAGCAACCCATGATCTTTCTGATTTACATTTATTTATTTATTTGGGTTTTTTTTTTTTGGTAACCACTTCTGGCAATGTTCAGGGGACCATATGTGGTGCTGGGAATTGAATCCAGGTCAGCTGCATGCAAGGCAAGTACCTTACCCACTTTACTATCTCTCTGGCCCCTTATGTTTATTTACTTTATCTTATTTGTTTTGGGGCCATATGTGGTGATTGGGGGCTAATCCTAGCTTTCCCCAGGGGTCAGTTCTGGTGGTGCCAGGGATCAAACCTGGGACTCCATGCAAAAAGCTTGGGAGAGGGTCCGGTCTGGTTGTTAATTTGTGACTGAGTGTATCCGAGTGATGATCTCTGCGAAGTAACATTTGACTTTTGAGCCATAGTACCAATTGATTGTTTAAGCAAAAAAGTACATATTTTATATAACTTTTAAGAAAATTTCTTTAATTCTCTCTTGTAGCATATAGAGTAATCTAAACATTATTAAGACAAATTTTGTGGGCCAGAGTGGTGGTACAGGCAGGTTGTGTTTGTCTTGCACGTGGCCAACCCAGATTTGGTCCCCAGCACCCCATACGATGCCCCGAGCCAGCAGGAGTAACCCCTGAGCAACATGGGGTGTGGTCCAAAAATAAATTCTGAAATACAGAACTTGGAGTAAGCTCTGAACCACCACCAACTGTAGCCCAAAACCCAAAACCAAGACTAATTAATTTTGTTGTCATATGTTATGATCATGATGTTCCCTAACAAGAGACATATAGGAAATAACTTTTATTTATTTATTTTTAAGATAGAAAAGTTGATTGAAAAGAAGAGAAAGAAACTCCCCAGCTGGGGAGAAACTTATTAGAGTACTAAATTCAGGAAAGATTCTTTAGGGTGATGAAAATGTCCTGCATCCTGATTGTGTGGTTACATGGGTGAATATATTTGTCGAATGAAAGTAAACAGTTAAATGAATAAAGCCATACAATAAATTCCATGTAAATTATATCTCAGTAAAGAAAAAAACTATTTTCTTACTGTTTTGTTTTTGAGCTACCTGACAGTGCTCAGGGAACCATGCAATGCAAGGGTTAAACTGAGGCCCCCTACCTGCAATGCATATGCTTAGTCCTTTGAGTTATCTCTTTCCTCTCACCAAAAATTGTTTGTTTGTTTATTTCGTTTAGGTTTTGGGGGCCATACGTGGTTATACTCTGGGTATATATTACCCCTAGCTCTGTGTTCAAGGATCACTCCTAGTGGGATTTGGGGGATCATGTGGGGTGCTGGGTATTGAACCCTGGTTGACTGTGTGCAAGTCAAGTGCTCTACCCACTGTACTATCTCTCCAGATATAAAAAGAATTTGTGTGAATGGGAGACTGTAGTGTGCTATGCTAATCAGGTGTCCACATTAAGTTTGGCATCGAAATGGTGACCCCTGGAAGAGGGGGGACCACCAGGTCGCCTTCAGAGGTGTGAAACACCATGGTCAGAAATAAAAACAGATTTTATAGCTTGGGACTGGGGTTATTACAGGGGTTCAGGCCCATGCCTTGTACGCAGCTGATCTGGGTTTGATCCCTAACCCCTCCTCGTTCCCTGAGCATCATAGGCACAACCCTGGAGGTCCTTGAGCATTGCCGGAGTCGCCTGGGTAAACCCTAGCATCACAGGGCTTGGGCGGCACCACATTCTTGGGCCCTTGAATTGAGCTGCTAACTTGGTTTTCAGAGAATTTCCAGGAGGCAAACCTCCAGAGCACCACTTGGGAGGTACCCCCTCCCTTGATCCCATACAAGAGAAAGTTCATACCAGATCCGTGTATCTTGTTTGTCTGTTTCTTTGCTTGCTATTTCCACTCTAGAAAAGCCCATGTTCACTCCTGAAAACATATTTCCCCTCTTTTCCTCCTCTCACATTTTTCTAAGCAAGTTTCATTTAATAAAAACTACCTTGCTTGGGGCTGAAGTGATAGTACTGTGGTTAGAATTCTTCCCTTGCATGCAGCAAACCCCAGTTTCATCTTCAGCACTCCATATGGTCCCCTGCGCATGAGCAGGAGTGATCCCTGAGCTCAGAGTCAGGAGTAAGCCCTAAGTACCACCTGGTGTGGCCCCCAAACCAAACCAAAAGCAAAACTGACCTTGTTTCACTCGAAAGAGAGAGGAAGGAAGGGAGGGAGGGAGGAAGGGAGGGAGGGGGGAAGGAAGGAAGGAAGGAAGGAAGGAAGGAAGGAAGGAAGGAAGGAAGGAAGGTAGGTATCTTGGGAGCCAGACAGATAATATAGTGGGTAAGGTGCTTATCTTTCATCAAACCAGGATTTGATCCCCAAAACTACATGTCATTCTCCAAGTAGTGCCAAAAGTGATCCCTGCTGCAGTGATTCAAAGAAGGGTTTTGGTATATTCACAAGGTCCAAGATAGCCGGGTTCCTCATTATTCTGTTCTTTTCCCCCACTATCTCTCCCTCAATTTCTATCTCCACAGGTCTCAATTCTTTTTTTCAATACTTGAAAAAGAACAACCAAAAATGATTGAGTACCAGGTAAGTGTGCCATTAATAGCTTACTTTTGCTTCTGCATTAGTTTTTGGGGGGGTTTTATTTAGGGGTCACACCCAGCAGTGCTCAGGGATCAGGCAGTGCCAGGTAATCAAACCGAGGCCTCCAGACGCAAAGCATGTACTTCATCCCTTTGAGTTGTTCCCCCAGCCCCAATTCTCACTTCCTGGGGAAACTGTTCTAGAAAATATTATATGCAGGACCAGTGATGTAGCAACAGTAAAGTACTTAACCTTCCATATGTGATGTTTGATTCCTTGCACAAACAACAACAATAACAAAAAAGGTGGGGCTGGCGGGGGTTGGGGGAGGAGGGAGAGAGAAAAGAAAAAGAAAAGGCAGGCAGGCAGGAAGTAAGTCAGGCATTTCAATCATGTGTATTTTGTCATTTGCTGATTGGGTTCTTAGGAAAACAGACTTGGAGATTTGCACAGAGGAAGTTTCCCGTAGGGAGATTCTTGGAATACTAGTAAGGCAGAGACGGAATTGGGATTGGGTGGGAGAAATTACTGAATAGAGGTATTAGCTGATCTTATAAGATGACCTGGAGTTGAAATGGTATTTTTGGTAGTGTTCTTTGTGTTTGTTTGTTTGTCTGTCTTGGCTACATTCGGCAGTGCTCAGGATTTACTCCTGGCAGGACTCGGGGGACCATATATGATGCTGGGACTTGAACCCCAGTCAGACATGTGTAAGACAAGCATCCTGGCCTGTTGTACTCCGGCTGTGTGACCCAGGTTTTATTCCCAGCACTGCGCATCCCTTGCGCACATTCAGGGAGCTGAAAGTTCTAGCCCTCTAATCACAAACATGCTTCCTCTAATTTCCTTCCACCCTCTGAGAGTTACATCATTAGCATGAACCCCAGGGCTTGCTGTAAAGAATAAGACACTCCTCAACACTGCAGCAACCAAGTATCTTGACAGGAGCCAAGAAGAGCTGAATATATATTCTTTTTTTTCTCTCTCTCTCTCTGTTTTGGGTCACACCCAGCGATGCTCAGGGTTACTCCTGGCTCTGCACTCAGGAATTACTCCTGGCGATGCCTAGAGGACCATATGGGATGCAGGGGATCGAACCCGGTCAGTCACGTGCAAGACAAATGCCCTACCCTCTGTACTATCACTTTGGCCCTACATACTCTTTTATTATAATGTCATACCTTTTCACATTAGTAGCTGGGCATGTCCCTTTGCAGCAGGCTGGTCCTAAGGTAATGGCCTCTTTAGAGTTCAGGCTTTGGAGGTCTGGTTTTGGCATAAAGGCCATACCTAGCAATCCTTGGGCACCACTCTCAGATCCTTGCTTGGGGGTCTTTCCCAGGAGTGCTCAGGGGACTGTGCAGTACAAAGAATCGAACCCAGCCCTCCTACCTGCACGGCAGGCGCTCAGCCTTTGAGCTTTCTCTGGGCGGGCGGTAGGCTCTTTGGAGCACTTTTGTGCTCTGAGCAAAACCAGGTCACCTGGGGACTGCCAGCCTCAAGCCTGGGTGCCAGACTAGACTGCTTCTCTCTGGGCTCTCGATTGAGATCATCTGCTGTGTCGCAGAACTCCTTAACTGTTGAGACCTTGGAGGATCCTGACCTGGCCTCTCTGCCCCTCTGGTCTCTAGGCAGGGAGAGCGCACAGTTTCACAGTCACCCCCATCTTTGTGCTGATGACACACTTGACTATTCCTTCCTGACCTTCCCCCTGAGCCAGCATTCTGTGCCACCCTGCTGCCTGCCAAGTGTCCTCCAAAAACGTCCAACCCAAACACGTCCACCACACACATCTTCTCTTCCACCTCTTGGATTTATCACCACATCACCTCCTTGCCTGAGTCTCTTCCTTCCTTTCTTCTTCCTAGCACCTCCTCCTCCCTGCCCCCACAAGTTATAGGGTGCAGGTTTAACTGTCTAGCACAGTCTTCCTCCTGCTGTCGTACAGGTGAAATGGTCTCCAGAATCTGGTTCCTTTCACTTCTCTCTATGCCACCAACCATGTTTCTCTTCATCCATTTACTTTCTCACATCCATCTGTGAGTGCTTGTAAGCAGCATTGCTTTTTCATCCTGTTTGTCCATTTCTACCCTTTCAGGAGAGTGTGGTCATATATTGTTTTTTAAGGGGCTAGAGAGATAATACAGGGGTTAAGGTGCTTACCTTAACATTTTCCCAATCTGGTTCGATCCCCAACACCGTATATGATCCCCTAAGTGTCGCCAGGAGTGAGCCCTCATACAGAGCTAGGGATAGAACTTAAACATCTCTAGGTTTAGCTCAAAAACTAAAAAAAAAATAGGGGCCAGAGAGATTATACAGGGGTTCAGGTGCTTGCCTTGCATGTGCCAACCCCAGTCCCGTCTCTAGTAGTACATACGGCCAGGAGTAAACCCTGAGTGAAGAACTAGGAGCATGTCCCCCAAACAAACAGAAAGACCTAGCAAAAATAGTGGTGGAGCAATAGTACAGCAGGGACTTGCAGCTCGCCTTGTATGTTTCTGATCTAGATTTGATCCCCAGCACCATACATGGTCCTCTGAGGAGTGATCCCTGAGTACAGAGCCAGCACAGAGTAAGTCCTGAGCACTGTTTTTGGCCCTAAACTCAAAAACAGAACAAAGAATTCGAAGTATGCGTTGAGTATCACCGCTGTGCCCTCCCTTTCAGACAAAATATCAGCAACAAAACCCCAAATACAAAGTTGATCGTTAAATCTGTATCACTGTATCACTGTCATCCCATTGTTCGTTGATTCACTTGAGCAGGTGCCAGTAACGTCTCTATTCATCCCAGCCCTAAGATTTTAGCAGCCTACTGTATGAACTCCATCAAACATGGTATGAAAATAGGTAAGAGGTGTCTTATGATGTGTCGGCCACGCAGTCCAGAAAGCGGCCTGGAGCATGGTGGCGGTTGGGTAGTAGAGGTTGGCTGCCAGGGCTGGGTCCCTTGGGGTGGGGAGGGCTCTTGCCCATCCCCTCTGGGGCACCCCAAATGAAAACAGCCTGGCGCAGAGTCCCAAGATCGTTACATAATATAATATATAATGATTGAGATTAGATTAATATCTCATTTTTTTGTTTTTTTTATTTGTCCCATCTATTTTTTGTTTTCATTTTGGGCCCACACCAGGTAATGCTCAGGGGTTACTCCTGGTTCTGCACTTAGGAACTACTCCTGATGGTGCTCAGGTGACCATATGGGATGCCAGGGATCTAACTCAGGTCGACTACATGCAAGGCAAGCACCCTCCCCACTATACTGTCTCTCCAGCCCAATTAATTGAATACTTTCTAGCATTCTCATTTGTTTCAGTCCAGCTCTGCACACTATGATTTGAGTGCTCTCCCTAAGGATATGGTTTTCTTCTTTCACTTTTCAATCTGGTTAGAGTTACCAATTGTACCACTTGATAGAGAATACAAGGAACTCACCATAGGCCTTATTGAATTTGCTTTCTTCATACACCTTGCACCTCTCCCTTATTCGCGTTTCCATTATCATCCTCTCATCACTCCTTGGACCTCTGTCCCCGTTTCTGGTAGTGGGAAATCGCTGTTTACCCCTCTGCCTCAGTACAGGCTCCTCCCTAAGCATGGAACGTTTCGTCTCTCTGTAGACTCAGTTCCACACAGCCCTGAGAATTCCCGCCTGGACCTGAGCATTTTAGTGGAGCACTGATTTTTCTTATAGCCTCAGTATCCTGCTATTACTGCTTTTAGAACACACAGCTGCTTGTTAAAAACTCAGAGCTTCCTCAGCTCAGGAACTTCTCATGTCTGTGTCCTCAGTGTTTGGCCCTGGCTCATACACACGGGGCATCAGTTTATTGGCTCAGAGTAAATGCCATTGGCTTCCAGTGCCACTGACTTCCAGATGCCATTGGCTTATCTAGCCCAGAGCCAGGAATATTAATAGCATCTAGGATCCATGAATGCATAAGCTCTGGACTATGCGCATGAGAACATCTACCCCTGCCCACATACCACAGTACTCACTACCATTTCGTCCTCAGCAGAGACTTGTGTCATTCAAGGATGTGGTTGTGAACTTCACACAGGAAGAGTGGCACAGGCTGAGTCCCGCGCAGAGGGCCCTGTATCGGGATGTGATGCTGGAGACCTACAGCAACCTCGTGGCAGTGGGTAAGAACAGCTGCATGGGGCAGTGCAGAACGCACTCAAATGATCCCCTCTCTTTTTGCAGTTGCTCAAAGTAATGGAATCACCTAGAGCCTTTGAAGTTCCAAATACTTCCTATATGCCAAAAAGGACATTTATTTTGGGGGGTTGGGGGGTGGGGGTGGAGGAGATTGGTTTGGGGGCCATACCCAACTGTGTTCAGGGCTTACGCCTGGCTCTGTATGCAGGGATCACTATTAGTTGAGCTCCGGGAACCATATGGGGTGCTGGGGATCGTTGCAAAGCAAGGGACTTGCTCACTGTATAATCCCTCCATATGCCAGATACAGTTTTAGCTATTCTTGAAAAATCATCTTACTTAGGGGGCCAGAGACATATAGTACAGCAGGTAAAACTCTTGCCGATCCAGGTTTGATCCCTTCCGCTTCATATAGTCCTTGGAGTATTCCAGGAATGATCCCTAAACACAGCCAGGTATGGTCTAGAAACCAGAAAGGGACCTCCAAAAAATCTGCCCGAATGAGTTGGGCACTGTTAGTGCCACCTGTTGCTGTGGGGCTGCTAAGGCAGAGCCGTCTTGGCCAGTAAGGCTCCCCCTGCAGAGCAGAGCCAGGATGGTACTTGCACTGAGGCGGCCAGCGGCACACTCGGCGTCCATCCTGAGCTGCTGCAGTCAGTGTGGCTTGAGAGTCAGTGGTCCCCCATATCTGTGGGATTCAGGACAGGCTGTTTGTCATCAGCTCCCCAAACACTGCGTCTGGTGCAGCCTGTGTGCCACCTGCATGACCTTGGGGACCACATTGCTCAGCAGGGTCTGGGGCATGTCCCGGCACAGGTTATGAAGGCACCAAACCGTATGTGATCCTCCGGCTGGAGCAGGAAGAGGCGCCATGGATTTGTGAGGCAGCGTGCTCCGGCTGCCACTGTCGTGGTGAGTGCACTGAATGCAGCCAGAGGCACAGGGGGAAATGTATGCCATGGAGGGCTGGGACCTGTGACATTTTGTTCAACACCATGCTCTTAAAGCCTCAGGGTGAGGGGCTGGGGAGATAGTAGAGGGGTGAAGAAGCTCTCATTGCATGCTGCTACTCTGGTTTGATCCCTGGCATCCCTGGCATTGCATGGTTCCTTCAGAACCGGCAGGTGTGGCCCTGAGCATCTCTGGGATTGCCCTGAGCACCAAAGGACTGGAGCCACACTGAATCTTGGTGTCTAGCAATGAACTAACTGCTGGTATCCCCTGGATTGGCCCTGGGCCCCCTGAGTACCACTTGGGAGGCCCAAACTACCCACCACTTCACATAAAAAAGTAAAATCCTCAAGGCAAGCCAGGGTGGTGATTCAAAGGGTTAGAGACCAAGCTTTGCATACTGGAGCCCCAGTTCTCTGGCACCCCCTGATCCTGAGAGCACTATGCTGGGAATAACTCTGAAGCACTGCCAGGTTTACACTCCCACCCCCAGTCCCTCAAACACACACAGACAGACAGACAGATAAACAGACTCTCTCTCTCTCTCTCTCTCTCTCTCTCTCTCTCTCTCTCTCTCTCTCCAGTCTCCCCAAGCTTTTGTAAGCAATGGGAGCACCTCAGCTTTCTTTGTATTTTTCACATTTATTTTGAGCTTCTGGGCCACACCCAATGATACTCAAAGGCTACTCCCACCTCCAATGCTTGGGATTACTCCCGGCAGTCACTTCTTGAGTGTTGGGAGCCATTCTTAGGCTTTTGTTTCTCTACAACTGTGTCCTGAATGCACACCCAGTGAGCTGTCTCAGTACATGCATGATGGCCCTCCATGTACGATGTCTGCCTTATCTGGATGTTTCTCCTTTCCCTCCTTTATATCTCACATCTCTGTATGTATCACTGTTTTTTTTTTTCTCTAGAATCTCTGTCTCTCTCCAAAAAATGTCAATATTCCTTCTCTTTCATATTCAGTCATTCTTACAATTAAGTGTCCTTGACTCTCTAATTCTAGCTGGTTTCTTCCTGGTCTCTAAAACTTTGCAGATGAATCATCTCAAACCTGCTTGCTAGACCCTTGACCTTAGTTCCCACATAATCCCTTCCATCATCACAATCCCTTAACTAGAGGTGACAGGAACAGTTGTGTGGTTTTGCTTAGCTGGTCTTTTAGTTCTTATTATTTTGCGGGGGGGGGGGGGGTACCTTTATTGGTGCTCATGGCTTATTCCTGGCTCTCTGCTAAGGGGTGACCCCTGGCAGTGCTTATGGGACCATATTGTAGTGCTAGAGACCAAACAGGAGTCAGCTGCATGCAAGGCACATACCTTAAGCTTCGTATCAACTTGGTATCAACTCTCAAGGCTTAGTGGATTTTAGCTCCTTCTCCCAACAGTGTCAACCTTGCAAGGAAATTCTGTGTCATCTGTTCCCACACATCCTGCACCATTCATATTTGGTAGTTTTAATTAAATATTGTCTTGATTGATTAACATTTTAATTATATATTTAAATGATTGAATTAAATGTTATGTTAATTATAAGGAGCCATTTTTGTGCTTCTCCCCAGAATGAAGTCGTTGAATTACCACCACGCTGCTCTCATTTCTGTGTTCACAATAGCAGCTGTGGCAGCATTAGCGTGTTGGCTCATTCTCAGTATTATTTGCTCTGTGCAGGGTCTGGTACATCTTTCAACTCATCCTACCTTTACAGTAGTGCCCTCTCGCCAGTGAGAAAACTGCCTTATTGTTTAAAGGGCTGAGAGATGGCTCAAAGCACTAGAGCATATGCTTGCATTCAGTCCCCAGCGTTGCTTGGTTCTCCTGGGACCCTGAACGGAACCCCTCCCCCAACACTATGACAAGAGTAGCTTCTAAGCCCCTAAGCATTGCAGAGAGAGATACTTGTCTAAGAACATACAGCAAATTAAGTTACTGAACAGGGATTTGAACCCAGGCAGTCAGATTCTAGAACTGATACTTTTGCTTTATTTTTTCAGAGTAAATATTTATTATGAACATGAAAATTGCAGTATTGTTAGACTGGAGAGATAGAACAGCGAGTAGAGTATTAGCCTTGAATGTGGCCAACCCAGAGAACACATACTTTTAAGCATCACACTCTTGTGGCCTTCGGTACATTTTAATTGGGGGTGGGGGGAAAGGGTACAGCTGATGGTGTGCTCTGTACTCAGGTGACCATATATGTTACAGAGATAAAATCCAGGTCAGCCACATACTAGGCAGGCCAGCACCTTACCTGCTATATTCTCCCAGCCCTGTTTTGATTTTTTTTAAACTGCTCATTAGCCTCAAGGAAACCATTGTATTCTGTCTCGCATCTGCTTTTCTCTGTCCTCTTTTAAGAATTTCTGTAATGGCTATCCCAGGAAGAAGCATCTTGCAGTCCTGCTCTCTGAGAGCTCCGTGCCCTGTTGACTTGGCTGACCCCAGCCTTTGCCCTCCTAGTTTACTGTATGTTACCTCTTTTGAACTTTATTTGGGGGGGTATTTGGGGGCACATCTAGTGATGATCAGGGATTACTACTCCTGGCTCTGCACTCAAGAATCACAATTGCTCCTGGTGGTACTTGGAGACCCTATGGGATACCAAGGATTGGACCCAGGTCAGCCACATGCGAGGCAAACACCCTACCCACTGTATGATCACTATGGCCCCATGCACCCTTTAAGTTTTTTTTTTAAATATTTATTTATTTATTTATAGCTTTTTTGGGGGGGCTACACCTGGCGATGCTCAGGGGTTATTCCTGGCTCTACACTCAGAAATTACTCCTGGTGGTGTTCAGGGGACCGTATGGGATGCTGGGAATCGGCCGCGTGCAAGGCAAACACCCTACCTGCTGTGCTATCACTCCAGCCCCCCCTTTAAGTTTTTTCAGGCATTTTCTCAAATAATTTTATTCCAGATCATAATGGAAAGAGTCATAAAGAAAGGTTTACTTTACTTTCTCCAGAAAACATTTGGCAAGTTAATGTCCAGAGAAAAAGGCGGCCAGAAGTACTTCTGAGGCAAGGAGCATTCATCAGCAAGAAAACAGTGACCAAGGAAAGGAGCCAGGTATATAATAAGTTTGGCAAAGTCTCACCTCTGATGAGCCCTGATCGTTTCCCTTCAATTTCAAACCCCAGTCACCGGGACCCCTACGGCAAGACTGTGAACTCTCATTTAGACCTAATTGGTTTTAAGAGAAACTATTCCAAAAAGCAGGATGAGTGCTACAGATATGGGAAACTGTTGCAGCATACAAACCATGATAGAAGAGCCACTGGGGAAAAGCTGTGGGAATGCAGCCACTGCGAGAAAGCACTGAGCCCTACCCCGGCCTTGCTGTATAAACCCGCGGTTGCCAGTTCTCTGGTGTACAAACGGAAGAGGGTGTCACCCACTGAGAAGCCCCACGTCTGCAGTGAGTGTGGGAAGGCCTTCTGCTACAAGTCGGAATTCATCAGGCATCAGAGAAGCCACACGGGGGAGAAGCCCTACGGGTGCACGGACTGTGGGAAAGCTTTCTCACATAAGTCGACCCTCATCAAGCACCAGCGAATTCACTCAGGGATCAGACCCTTCGAGTGCTTTTTCTGTGGGAAGGCCTTCACCCAGAAGTCACACCGCCGCGAGCATCAGAGAACACATACCGGAGAGAGACCGTTTGTGTGCAGTGAGTGTGGGAAGTCATTTGGCGAAAAGTCATACCTCAATGTACATCGAAAAATACATACTGGGGAAAGGCCATATCGTTGCAGAGAATGCGGAAAAGCCTTCAGCCAGAAGTCATGCCTCAACAAACATTGGCGGACACACACTGGAGAGAAACCCTACGGATGCAATGAATGTGGCAAGGCTTTCTACCAGAAGCCAAACCTTAGTAGACACCAGAAAATTCATGCTCGGAAGAATACCTTTAGGAATGAAAACATCATGATTGTGGGAAAGCCTTGAACAAGATCAACAGTTTTCATTGTTCCTGCTTAGGAGAACTGGCATGGGTTTAAGTTTTCCAGTAAGTGATGTCACATGCCAGTCGTGATACAGAATTGTCCAGACACTGTCATTTAAAATACACTATAAGATATAAACAATGTCACACTTTGATATATAACATTTTTAAAATGTATTCAAATTGAATGAAAACAGAATACAAAATACATGAATAGAATGTGAAATACGTTATCACCCTAAGCCACATAACCAATATCCATATTTGAAAATGTACATGTGCAGTTAATATGGATTGTTATTGTCACTCACATATGTCGCATTAGCTGTGGAATGCCTTTTCCCATGCTTTTTCACTCTAAACATAACCATTGCCTTTGGGTGTCATTTCAGTATGAAACAACAATGGTAAGTCTGAAGAGAGAGTAGAGAGGTTTTGTTGCCAACACAGCACCCTTGGGAGTGACCTTGGGGGTCACCCCCACCCCTGCAAAAATTCCAACAATAATAATTTGGTGAACAACTAAAAAGTGTTAGGTTATTATACTTGCTATGGTTTGTCTACTATTTTGTAATATATGTAAATAACTAACATTTCTTCTTAACCTCTTCCTAACACTAAGGCAATATTTAATTTTGGCAAGTCAGCCAAAACCCTATTATATTTTTAATGCTAAAAAATTATTTACTGGGGCTGGAAATATAAATTATGAATTATAAAGGGTAAGGTACTTGCCTTGCACACGTCCAACTGTGTCACTGACCATATATAGTCCTCCAACCCTGTCCAGGAGTGATCCCTGAGCATAAAGCAAAAAGTAAATCTTAAGAGCCACTGGGGTGGCCCAAAATCCAAAACATTTATTTATGTTGCCTTTGTGTAATAGTAATCATAATTTTAAAAATTAATAAATTATTTTAAATAAGTTATTTGATAAATATGTATTAAATAAGCACTATAGCACTGTCCTTCCATTGTTCATCGATTTGCTCAAGCGGGCACCAGTAACATCTCACAACAAATTGTGAGACTTGTTGTTACTGTTTTTGGCATATCGAATATGTCACGGGCAGCTTGTCAGGCTCTCTGAGAGGGGCGGAGGAGTCAAACCTGGGTCGGCTGCGTGCAAGGCAAACGCCTTACCCCCTGTGCTATTGCTCCAGCCCATGTATTAAATAAATAATAGTACTATAGAACTGTAGCACTGTTCATCGATTTGCTTGAGTGGGCACCAGTAACATCTCACAACTAATTGTGAGACTTGTTGTTAGTGTTTTTGGCATATTGAATACATCACGGGTAGCTTGCCAGGCTTTGCCATGCAGGCGAGATACTCTCAGTAGCTTGCCAGGCTCTCTGAGAGGGGCAGAGGAATCGAACCCGGGTCAGCCATGTTGGCCGCGTGCAAGGCAAATGCCTTACCTGCTGTGCTATCGCGTTATTTTGCCTTTAGTAATACTGAAAAGGCAAAGCTAAGTAAGAACTTGCTGAATAGCCTGTTATTAACCAAGTACTATAAATTTCATTATAGGACACACTAGTTAGACAGTAGTGGTCCATCCTGTTTCACTGGGCCCTATTCCTATTGTCTTACTCTAGATGAAGTGTTTTTGTATCAAGTCAATAGAAATGAAGAAATACCCTGAGCTTTATAATTTAGAGGTGTTTTGTGAAAACTGAAAGAAAACTTAATTTTTCAGTTAAAAGTAATAATGCTATTTTTCCCTCTAATTTTCCCTGGGAGGGGCCAGAGTGATAGTATAGCGGGGAGGGCTCTTGGCTTGCATGCGGCCAACCCTTGGTTCGAGCCCTGAGCTTTGTCAGGTGTGGTCCAAAAGCAAAACAAAAATGTCCCCTGTGAATTCCCATGTGTTTTCATTATTCTAATCTTTGAAAAAATAGTCTCCTTGATGGCCAGAAGTTTTCCTTGATGGGGTAGGGGGGCGGAGGGGTGTTAAATGGTTTTCTTGACAAAAATTATCTGAGGTTATGTTTCCTTTCTCATTCCGGATTAGGCATTCTCACAGGGAAGCGAACCTTGAACTATGGGGTCATCTTTATGGACAATATGGCAGCTCAAGGAAACAGATTGAAACATTGTTTTATTTTGTTTTGTGGGGGTGATGGCATTCCCAGCAATGCTCAGGGGTTACTCCTGGCTCTGCAATCAGTTATTACTCCTAGTTGTACTTGGGAGGGAACCTTATGGGATGTCAGGCATGAACCAGGAGTTTAATCTCCAGCATTCCAGTCCCCTAGCACTGCCAGGATTAACCCCTGAGCATCACTGGGTGTAGTCCCCAAACAAAATTACATTAAATACCAGTGACTTTTCTTTATCTATGTGCATAGATAATAATGTTCTAAGGAAAAATAAATGCCATGCTAGAAAAGAACAAGAATGATGGGGGAGAGGGACTACAGTACAGTGGGTAAGGCACTTACCTTACATGTGACACACCCTCTTTTGATCTGTCATATATGGTCCTCCAAGCTTGCCAGGAGTGATCTCTGAGCACAGAGCCAAAGTACAAAAAGAACATTTCTTACCAGATGTCAGAATATAAAATGAAGTCAACTAAGCAAATGGATAGTTTTAGCACAGGAATAGATAAATCATTGGAACAGAATAGAACTAGACCTGAATATCTGAGCTATTCCATATACAAACATGGAATTTCAAACATACGCAAAAGGAAGAGATTATTTGATTAATTTTTAAAAAATTATAAAACAGCTAACAATAGGGCCAGAGAGATGCGGGGTAGGTAGGCATTCACAGTAGGAATGGATCTGGGGATACTAGATGCAAAGTATGTTCTCCGGTACTTTGAATCACTTTACCATCCCAGGGAGAGTATTTTAAAAGAATACCGGCACAGTTGAGTTTGGGGATTTTTTTTTTTTGCCACAGCCATTGGTATAGTGTCAAGATGCCTCTGGCTGTTTATGAGCAGTCAATATGTTTCCATACCCATGTGGTAATTTATGTGCATTGGCAAAAATATAGACGCCTATGCATGGGGTTGGGAGGAGATGGGTAATGCAGTTTGGTTATGGGACATTTGTAGAAAGAAAATGAAAGCCAAAAAGAAAAAAGTAGCAGATTATCATATCTCAAATGAGAGATGAAGGAATTCGAGTGGAGGCTAGAACACTATTAATTTGTTAAGATATTTATGGCATAATGATATGTGAAAACCAATAGAAAATTATGAATATATTTTGAGTATATAAATTATGAATATATGAAAAAAATCAGCCCTTATATGTGTACATATGCATGTATATGTTTATATGAAAAGTGTGGAATGGTACACAGGTATTCATTAAGTTATGATAATTGTTTCACGTATATATCTTTGTACTGTTTTATTCTTCTAACATATAAAGTAAAGTAAAGTAAAATAAAGGCCCTCCCGTTGATCATTGATTTGCTCGAGCGGGCCCAGTAACGTCTCCATTAGAGACTTTGTTGTTACTGTGTCTGGCATATCTAATATTCTCGGTAGCTTGCCGGGCTCTCCGAGAGGGGCGGAGGAATCGAACTCGGGTCGGCCATGTTGGCTGCGTGCAAGGCAAATGCCCTACCCGCTGTGCTATCGCTCCAGCCCTTCTAACATATATTACTTTGTAATATGAAAAAAATAAAGGGAGAAGTTTCAAAACCTCCTAATTTTTTTTTCTTTTGGGGTCACACCCGGTGATGCACAGGGGTTACTCCTGGTTCTGCACTAAGGAATCACTCCTGGCGGTGCTTGGGGAACCATATGGGATGCTGGGAATCGAACCTGTGTCGGCCACGTGTAAGGCAAAAGCCCTACCTGCTGTGCTATCGCTCCAGCCCCAGAACCTATTAAATCTTGCAGATGTTTCTGTCTTCTGACAAGGTGGCACACACAAGATGGGCCAGAGATAGTGGCCTATCTACTGCCTTCTCCTCAACTTCATCTTTGGAATATCACCAGAATTTAAAACCATATAGGTTCAATTTTGTAATCAGTTTTATCACAACATATAAGAAAGAGAATGGTATCTGAAAGTTACAGGCAGTTCCAAGAAATAATATTTTTCATTTGTGTTTGTATGGGGTAGAGGGTTGAGCCCTGGCAATGATCAGGACTTAGTCTTAACTCTGTGCTCAGGGATGACTCCAGGCGGGGCTTAGGGGACTGTACATAACCTAGGAGATCAATCTGGAATTGTTATATAAGGTAAACACCATAACACCTGTGCAGATCATCTCTCTGGCCCTATTGTTAGCTGTTTTAAAAATAGTAAAAATCAGTTGCTGTTCCATCTGGTAGAATGAAATCACTGTGCCTACCTAGGGCAAACGTTACTTCCAAGTCCTGTCACAAGAAACGCACAGCCATGCTGGCCATGGCCTTTACAGAGTCCAGCCGCTATGCTGGACCACCTGTCCTACTGTTCAAAGCACTCCACAGGGGCGGGCAGAACACATGCTGCAGCTTGGGCAGAACACGCACTGCAACTTGGGCATCCCTGCCAGATGCTGAAGCAGGCTCTGCAGAGTGGCCCTGGAGATGTTTTTGCCAAAGATGTTGAGCTTGTGGAGGTGGAGGCAGCAATATAAGGCCAGCATCAGGACCCCAAGGAGCTCACCTCGCAGCTTGCAGCCGCTGAGGTCAAGTTCCTGCAGGGTACCCGAGGCCTGCAACGGCAGCACCTTAAACACTCCTGGAGCGATGGAGAAAATCTTGTTCCCACTCAATTCCAGCTTGTTCAGACTTGAAGCCTCTGGGACAGGCAGCAGATGTCCGGGGGCTCCAGATCGCAGCAGGGGAGCTCTAAGGTCTCCAGGGCAGCAGGAGTTAAGGAGAGCAGCAGTTAAGGAAAGTAGCAGTTAAGGAGAGTGTCTCCACAGTCACTTCCAGGTCACACCTGTTAATGCTCAGGGGTTACTCCTGGCTTTGCACTCAGGAAATACTCCTGGCAGTGCTCAGGGGGCCATATGGGATGCTGAGAATTGAACATGGGTCGGCTGCATGCAAGACAAATGCCCTACCGGCTGTACTATCACTCCAGC